GAAGGTGGCATCTAATTATTAATTTAATATTTAGATTTATTACTTTTCCTTTTGTTAACTAGACTTACCTTTTCAATCCCAGAAAGTTGTCTTTGTAATCTACAGTCTTTCACATAAGCTATTGATGTCTCCGGACAATATTTAAAAAATGAAAACAAAAAAATATTGACATTGTGATGAGATCTACAGCAGACAAGTAAGAGTGGCAGGCTGAGCTGCCATGCCTGGGCTAGCTAGGAAGGGCCTCTGCCGAGAACAACACCAAAGCCCCAAATCCCCTCACCTCTGTCTGGCCTTCCCCACTTGGTCTCTGTCTTCTCTCTGTCATCTTCCCTCTATCCATCTCCCACCTGCTCACTTTGTTACCTGCTAAGTACCTAGCACATGGCAGGCACTGTGTGAGGCTCTGGATATAGCAGCAGCAACCTAGTGTATTAATAACACCATAAAATCCTAGTGGGTCTTAGCTTTTTTCCCCCTTTGTCCTCCGCACCTTTCTGCAAAATTCATTGAGCAGTGAGTAGGTGTGTGTCCCCTGTGGACGACCCTGGGAATTGCTGTCTGGACTCCATACTGTATTCATCCATCCTCTGTGAAAGAACCTTGGACTTGGTATATATCTCTTCACTGTTGAGATCTTTAACACTCCACCTTCCACACAGTGAGGTGGGCAGAGCGAGCAAATGTGAGTCTCTGTGTTGTCTCAATGTTACAGAGTCACATGAAAGTTGGCAACAGATGGGGCACAAACAGAGAAGTCAGAAGAGCAGATGGGCAGCAGTGGCCACAGTTCCTGGGCTTGCCTGGCTCCTGAGGCCCAGTAGGGGGCCTCCTAGTGTATGTAATAGAAGAGGGCTCCAGTCTCTCCTAGGTGAGGACTTGGCTCTCCTGGGCCTTGAGAAATTACAGCCACCTGCAGTTTGTCTCCATGGAATGAACTATTGCTGCAGGTGCTAGCGGCAGAGGAAAAAAAAAAAAAATCCATAGTCAATGAGGTCATGCACTGGAAGGATCTGAGCGTGGAAAGTGTGAAGGACACTGCTAGGGCCAGTGCTGTCAGTGACCGGGTAGAGACAGGGGACCTGCCCGTGGCAAAGGAAGACACCGAATGGAACCTTGACTCTGCCACTCCCTCAATAGTGGGCTTGGCCAGCCCTTCCTTCCTGGATCCTGTGTCCCTGGTGTTCCTAGAGAGCTTGTGTGTGTCCTGTCTTGACACATAGCTCATTGCTTTATGATCTGCTAGATGTATCTTTTTGTTTCCGCATCCACTGTCCCACCCCCTCCATATACTGAGTATCCTGATGGTGGGGCTGTGTCTTGTCCATTTGTGGTTTTCTCTGGCTCCACATAGTGACCTTGGGGAGGTTAACCATTTAAGGGGCTGGCCATCTCCCCAGGGAGAGCAACTCTTGCACTCAGCATTCCCTGCCTGCCATGCCCTCCTCTCTCTCTCACACACACCTTGTTTCTTCTGTCATCTTACTACTTAGTGGGCAAGGGCAGAGCAGGACTGGAGTGCTAGGCCTCTTACTCCAACTCTGAAGCTTGCACTCTTGGTAATAAGGCTTCTAGCTATGATTCTCAAGTATCAGCAAGCATCAGGATCACTGGGAAGGAGTTGCTGATGATGCTGGTCCTAGGCCCAGCCCTAAGAACTGGCACTATGAGACTTTGCTCTCATCATACATGTGTATGTGTCTTTCAGGGGTGTAAGGCACCTGCCCTCTCTCATGAGAGAAATCTTGACACAAGCAGGTTAGTAACTCATAAAAATAGAAATTGCTTGGGGCTGGCATTGTGGTGTAGTGGGTAAAGCCATCGGCTGTGACTCTGAAATCCCATATGGGCACCAGTTTGTGTCCTGACAGCTCTACTTCCAATCCCTTTACCCTCTAATTCCCTGGAAAAAAGCAACAGAAGATGGCCCAAGTGCTTGGGCCCCTACCACCTACATGAGAGACCCAAATGAAAGTCCTGGCTCCTGGCTTTGCCCTGGCCCAGCCCCAACTGTTGCAGCCATCTGGGGAGTAAACCAGTGGATGGAAGATCTCTCTCTCTTTCTCTGTAACTCTGATATTCAAATACATGAATTAATGTTTTAAAAAGAGAGAATGTGCCACTCACATACACAAATGCATATACACACAAGCACACATATATGCACAAGCACACACATGCACATGCATGCATGTGTACACACATGCACATATGTACATAGTTATACATGCATACACTGCCATGGTTTGAGAGTGGTTTGTCCCCTCCAAAACGTAGGCTGAAATTTAATCCCCTTTATGAGAAACCAGGAATTGGGACCTTTTGGAGGTTATAAAGCCTCTACCCTCACAAATAGATTGATCTGAAGCATTCATGCTTGGGTGCATCAGTGGCTTAGCTTGAGAGTAGGCCTGCTAGAGAAGCCTTTGGGGCTAGGTTTCTCTCCTGCCCACTATTTTTTGCCATGTGATACTCTGCACCATGACACAGGGATCTGTCAGCAAGAAGGCCATGACTAGATTGAGTCTTTGACCTTGAACTGGAATGTGGTATTGTGTTACTCACAATAGAAAATGGGTTAAGGCATGCTGATAAATAGAAAGCCTGGATCATTTAGGAGACAGAAATGGCACTGGTTTGAAATTAGGCTGAATTCAAATCCTACATTGCCACTTACCAGCTCTGTGCCAGGGACCCAAGCATGGAAACTCCCTCAGACTGTTTTCCATGACCTGTGCATGGAGTAATAATAACCTATTTCTGGCATTACGGTGAAGACTGAATGCCAAAGCTCCCTTCATTGTGCTGGGTGCGTACCAGGAGCTCCCTTATGGATTTGACATTGGACTCAACTGGAGAACATCAGGTGGCCTGTTCCTATACACACGAGGAAACAGTGCAAAATAGAAGATTAGGGATTTATTTAGTAGGACAACTCCCATGGGAGATTCTCAGACACATTCTTCCCAATATTGCATATGGATCATGGATAATGAATACTGGTTGTGACCTGTTTTGTTCATGGAGGACCTCCTGGCCATATGTCTGGGTGGGGCCCCAGCCTTTTATTTGTATGCTACAAGCAGGTTGATGGATAGTTGAGCTTGAAGGTGGCTGGGCAAACCTTTTATGTTTCTCAGGAGGGTTGGCTCCCCCTGCCTCCCAGCATGCAACAGTGTGAGTGCAGTGGCGTGGAGTGGCCAGGGTTGTGTTCAGTACTAGCAGTGATCATTATGTCTGCATTTATCTACCATGAGTAGCTATTTAGCCTTGGGAGACTTTGTTCACCTCCCTGGCCTGTAAACCTAGCACATAGTGAGTGCTCAGACTATTAACCTTTGCTATTTATTGAGGAAATGTGATGCCCACGGAGATCCTCCCTTTATTCTGAAACTATAGTTCCAAGCAATTCTGGGATGGACATGAGATTTCACATGCAGTTTCTAAAAGTCACCAGATGCTGGAATGGAAAGAGACCTTCTGAATTCAAACCCAGACCCAGAGGACCAGCTTTGCATCACAGCCTGCCTGTCAGTGACTTCCCCTCACCCTTGCCATCGAATGCTGGCCGTTGTAATTTCTATGGGGAATGAATACATGTGTTTTAATGGTTTTTAAAACAAGATAGACTCAATATGTATTTTTCAGACATTTGCTTTGATTTACATATCTCAGATACTAATTTATATTCGTATAATACTTCCATTATAAAATATGCAGTGGTACAGAGATTTGTATGTATATGGAATTTTTTTTTGAAGCTTGGGTTTATAAATGGTTTGGAACAGGCTGCCGAAACATCGTCTGTTGCTCTTTTTAATATATCCTGAGCGTGCTATGACACATCCTGAAATAATTTGCTTGAGAAAAAAGCAGTGCTCTCCCCTCTCCCCCCCCCATGTAACTGTAAATATTACTTTGATGTATGTAATTGCTGCAGTCCTCTACATTTGAGGGAAAGCTTCTAGCCCTTCCATCTCCCATCTTTGCTATTGTCAAGAAATAAGAAAAACAGACTTAAAATGCGTTATTCAAATGCACTTAATGTAAACATTAAAGAAGTCTGAAAGCAGTCACAAATTTTCCTTTGCTTAAAGTGGTTTTGAAAAATACCTCATGAATTCAGTTGCATGAGCATTACAGAGAGTAATTTTTTTGAGCACATCTTGAATTCAAGACTGCGTATCGTAGCTGGCACGTAGTAGGGACTGAAGGATGTTTGGTAGGCTGGCTTGAGTTGAACTAAATTGGGATATGAGGATTGTGTGATTATGGAGACCCTCAGACCACAGCCTCCCCAGGAAGAGTGCCTCCCCCACCCAGGAGGCATGTCCAGCGGCCCCTGCTGGGAGCAGCAGCACCCCACAAGGACAGGTTGTTGCTTAGTGTAGTCCACTGAGCAGAGCAGAGATGGACTTGACTTCCAGTTTGCTCCCTTGTTCACTGAAGTGGCACTTGCATCTGAGCTTTTCCACTGGTCTGTGAGCCTCCGAGGGCAAAGCTCTGTCGTCTGTCCCTGCATGTTCAGTAGCCCTTTCGAGTCTTGATGCTGTAAGTGCTTTTCTCAATTGAAGCATAAAGGAAGGGAATGATAGAAGCCCCCGGCTCTCTCTCGGCTGCTTGTGAGCCATTGAGTGGACTTGTGGCCTGATCCATCATGCAACCTTCAAATTGTTCACTGGCAGGGCACTGAACCCTCCCTCTGTGTGGCTCTCTGTCAGGTTAGAGACTTGGCTGGAAGGTCTTAAAGGAGGGGGGGGGGGCTCACCAGCAGGGCTGTGGAGGAGGGGCCTCTCAGCCTAGGGCTGTATCCCTGCACCTGCTGGGGGTTCAACCTGCATCAAGCCCCTGCTCCTGCACCTCTGTCTCTGTATAGCATCTGAGGTCACTACCAGTGGCGCGACTCCAGCGCACGATAGCTTCTGTGTGCATGTGGCCATCAGTTTGCCATACAACCAACATTTCCCCTCTTGTGTTAATAAACAAGTAAATCTGCAGACCTGTTTATCGGCAGAGCGAAGTTCTGGAATTTCAGATCAGCGGATCCTTCTTTTGTTGTCCTTCTGTTGCCCCTGGGATGAAAGAAAATAGATTATATCTGGGAAATAGCAAGAAGCTAGGGAAAAAATTAATTAAGTGCATTCATTCATAGAAAGAAGCACCCAGTCAGATTTAAGTAATTAATGCCTCACACGTAAGTCTGAATCTCTCTTTGCATTTCCATTGGGGTTTAAAAAAAATCTGCATTTAAAGTAATTCAATTACTTACTTTTTTTTTTTTTTTGACGGGCAGAGTTAGACTGTGAGAGAGAGAGAAAGACAGAGAGAAAGGTCTTCCTTTTTCCGTTGGTTCACCCCAAAGTGGCCACTATGGCTGGCACCTTGTGGCCAGCCCACTGCGCTGATCCGAAGCCAGGAGCCAGGTGCTTCCTCCTGGTCTCCCATGAGAGTGCAGGGCCCAAGGACCTGGGCCATCCTCCACTGCCTTCTCGGGCCACAGCAGAAAGCTGGACTGGAAGAGGAGCAACCAGGACAGAACCGGCGCCCCAACCGGGACTAGAACCTGGGGTGCCGGTGCCGCAGGTGGAGGATTAGCCTAGTGAGCTGGGGTACCAGCCCAATTACTTAATTTTTTTTAAAGGGAAGAGCTATATTTTACAGGGATGATGTCATGGGGCAGAGAAGGACATGGGGTACCTCTCCCACACGGGCATTGACCTTGGTCCCTTACTTAAGCTCCACCAGCTTCCACTCCTCTACATTAAACTTTAGCCACATTGTTGAGGGGGGGGGGGAGCTCTTAAGATATTTAGAAGACAGTGATTGTGAACTGTGCAATGTTCCGGATGCTTTCCGATGTGTGCTGAATTTGTCAAAAATATAGCAAGCAGCATCCAATGAAGGAGTCAAGAGTATTTAGTGACAGCAACTACAATTCCAGTAATATTTATTGAACTTCCACACAATTCAGTCACTCTGCTAAGGTATTTTCTATGAAGAGATTAAAGTAATTTAAATTGAGTTAATTTGTTAAAATTTATCTTCTTCATTCATTATCAAGAAACATCACTGTTATGCATCCTTATTTCATTTAATTAGCCAGGTTTCAGGTACTTGTTTTGTGGGCATTTCATGAGCTCCCACACATTTCCTGGTGCTGTTTTCCTCTGCGGATCCTCCATGACAGCTGCCTCCTTGTCTTTTGCGTTCTCTCCACTTGGGCCAGCGGTGCCTCCCCCTTGTCCTGGAACTGTGTCTACTGCCTTCCCCTTTCTACCAGCTCTGGAAGGTCTGTGCCCTCTTTCTCAGATGCCCATCGTCTTTCTTCATCTCACTGTCCATAACTCATGCTTCTGAACAAAGCTCAAGTGTTGCTTCCATAGAGAACCTGCTTTTGAGCTCCTAGAGTGGCTGGTTCCTTGTCTGAATTTCAACTTTACTCCTCTCTCTTAAACATTTTTTTTCAAAGGCAGAGAGACCAAGATAGACACAGGGAGATCTTCCTTTCTCTGATTTACTCCTCAAATGCCTGCAGCAGCTGGGGCTGGGCCAGGCCAAAGCCAGAAGCCAGGAATTCACTGGGTCTCCTATTTGGGTGGTAGTGCATTAGCAGGAAGTTAGAATCAGATGTGGAAGCAGGACACAAACTCAGGTACTGCAATATGAGACGGTGGTCATCTCAAGTGGCATTTTACCCACGGTGCCAAATACCCACCCCTTATTTCTTTTTAAACTTGCAGTTGATATTCCTGTCTGACATGACAAGTAAACAACCATCTCTGTGAGGGCAGGGCTTGGTTTGTAGGTTTGTGCCCCAGGGCCTGGGTCTGTTCCTGGCCCACGTGGCCTCTGTGGACACACATGATTGCACATGCAACAGAGGGCTTCCAAGCAAGGCTTCGTGATGACTTGACTGGGATTTCATGTGTGCCCTGTAGAACACAGTGTGGTAAATAAAGAATCCACAAGTCATCTGCATGTATTTTGTCATTGTACAAATTGACCATGTAGAAAGATGGTGTTCTTTTATGACTTCATTACCTGTTTTCATCTTTTCCATTATTTATTTCAAAATGACTTGATGATCATGTTATTTCCCATGTTTCACAATTTCATTGTTCTGTCAGGGTAAAGTTTGACTCATAAATTTGTATCTGTACCCTGACTTCTAAGTTCTGGACTCAAACATACACCTTCTCTCTCAGCCTTTCTAACTGGTTGTCCTCCCGCAAGAGTGCGGCCATCTGCCTGGGGAGAGGCTCCATGGCTCATGTGGTTTCCAAACCCTCTGCTGGGTACTCCCCTTAGGCATTCCTATTTTTTCACCTCCTGCGTTGCCATCTTTCAAATTTGTTCCCAGATCCTAACAATCAGGTCCCAGAAACGTCTCTCCACCCGACTCTCCTTTACCCTGTAGCCTATTCTCAGTCTTCCCCTTTCTGAATCTCTGGCCAGGCTGCTGGCTTCCACCACTGACTGCTATCCCAGCCTCCTGGGCTCCAATCCATCAACCCAACTGCAGTAGAACAACATGTCTAATTGACAGAAAATTCTTAAGTCACATTCCCACCAGAAAGATAGTGCAGTGTGTTCTCACTCAACCGTGGATGCTGAAAAGTTGGTTTCATGGAATCAGAGGGTAAGAATAGTGGTCACTGCAGGCCAGAAGTGGGTGTGTATGTTTGCGTGGGTGTGTGGTTAGATAATGGGGACTAAATTAGAGTTAGATAGGAGGAATAAGCCTAGTGCTCTGTAGCTCGGTGAGGTGACTAAAATTTATAACAATTCATTATATATTTTATAAGAAACTAGGACATGGGAATTTAAAGGTTCTTTTTTTTTGAAAATTTTTTTTAACTTTTATTTAATGAATATAAATTTCCAAAGTACGATTTATGGATTACAATGGCTTCCCCCCCCATACCGTCCCTCCCACCCACAACCCTCCCCTTTCCCACTCCCTCTCCCCTTCCATTCACATCAAGATTCATTTTCGATTATCTTAATATACAGAAGATCAGCTTAGTATACATTAAGTAAGGATTTCAACAGTTTGCTCCCACACAGAAACATAAAGTGAAAAATAATAGATGATTTTTTTAAATGATGATGAAATCAGATCAGACCTATTGTCATGTTTAATCCCAGTGAGAGTCAAGTTGGGAGTTGATAATTTCTTTTTTTTTTTTTACAGAGGATCAATTTAGTATGCATTAAGTAAAGATTTCAACAGTTTGCACCCCCATAGAAACACAAAGTGAAATATATTGTTTGAGTACTCATTATAGCATTAAATCTCAATGCACAGCACATTAAGGACAGAGATCCTACATGAGGAGTAAGTGCACAGTGACTCCTGTTGTTGACTTTACCAATTGACACTCCTGTCTATGGCATCAGTAATCTCCCTATGCTCCAGTCATGAGTTTCCAAGGCTATGGAAGCCCTCTGAGTTCTCCGATTCTTATCTTGTTTAGACAAGGTCATAGTCAAAGTGGAGGTTCTCTCCTCCCTTCAGAGAAAGGTACCTCCTTCTTTGAAGACCTGTTCTTTCCACTGGGATCTCACTCACAGAGATCTTTTGCCAGAGTGTCTTGGCTTTCCATGCCTGAAATACTCTCATGGGCTTTTCAGCCAGATCCGAATGCCTTTAGGGCTGATTCTGAGGCCAGAGTGCTATTTAGGACATCTGCCATTCTATGAGTCTGCTGAGTATCTCACTTCCCATGTTGGATCACTCTCCCCTTTATTTATTCTATCGGTTAGTGTTAGCAGGTACTAGACTTGTTTATGTGCTCCCTTTGACTCTTAGTCCTTTCATTATGATCAATTGTGAACTGAAATTGATCACTTGGAATAGTGAGATGGCATTGGTACATGCCACCTTGATGGGATTGAATTGGAATCCCCTGGTATGTTTCTAACTACCATTTGGGGCAAGTCAGCTTGAGCATGTCCCAAATTATACATCTCTTCCCTCTCTTATTCCCACTCTTATGTTTAACAGGGATCACATTTCAGTTAATTTTCAACACTTAAGAATAACTGTGTACCATATGTTCTCCCTGATCGGTGACAACTGACTGAACACCAAAAAGGAAACCTGTTGAAGTGAAATGGACACTATGGGAAACGGTGACTTGATCAGCATAGCCCTGACTGTTAATGAACAACTTAATACATTATCCGTCTTAGTAGTTTTTTTTTGTCTGTTCTACTTAATATGACTGGGAATTTAAAGGTTCTTAACACAAAATAATGTGAATACTTAAAAAGACATGAATGTTAATTATCCTGATTCCATCATTACACATTGTATAAAAGTATTGAATTATCACCATGTTCCACATAAATATTTATAATTATCATGTATAAATTAAAATAAAAATATTAGTAAAAGAGAAAATCTTCACTAATTCTGCAAACTCAGCTACAATAGCCGAGATGCCACCCCAGCGGCCTTGAATACCATTTTTCTTGTTGAATCTTTTATTTCCTACCGTGTTCTATCAGGCCTCCCACACTCTGACCTCTGGGACATACTTTTTATCTTTTATGCTTCCATATCATTGATCAGATTATTCTTTTTGTCTCCTCTGGATCTGGAAAATATTTTCCTTTCTTCAAGGTCAAGTTCAAATATTACTTCTTTATGAGTTCTTCTCTACTGCACACCTCTCTTGTGCTCATGAATCCATTCATTCATTGACTCAACAGATAATTATTCTCTCTCAGGCAGTGTGCTGGGCAGTCATGAAAGAAGATATTAGCTGCCTCATGAAGCTTCCAGTGGAGCTGGGGAGACAGGCCAAGATCCAGCACATGCTCCTGCCTCACCACAATGCCGTGGAGCACCTGTGTGCACACACGCTGCTTCTAATGGGAAATTTCCTGGATCTTCTCTTCCGCACATGGGAGAACTGAGCCCAGCACACTCTCGGGAAGTGTTAGGAGACCATACATAGATGCACAGAGAACTTGCAGATAAATGGCTTGCTAGTCTGGTTGCCCACACAGTAGTGATCCATGTATTGCGTGGAGTCCTTCAGGTCTCTGTGATACCTGGGGATTCAGCTCTGTCCCCGCCCTGAGAAGGAGGTCCTCAAGTCCCTCACACCTCTGGGTTATGGGCATCACTCTGTTCTCTGACAGCCCTGTAACGACGCTCAGCCAAATGGCGTAGACCCATCTGATTTTAGGAGCATGGGGAGCATTCTGTACCTCTCCTCAGCCTCTTCCTAGAGGCATCAAGGACCCAACAGCCTGCATGCCCTCTCTGACCCTTCTAGATTATCAGCCTGGGCATTTTCAAAAAATTTTAAGAAGAGAGTTGAACTCAGACTCTCTTTCTGTATCATTTTCACAACAACCCACAGGAATAAATGGAAAGATATTCTTCTTAGTTCATGCCACAGATGAGGAGATGATCCAGGGGACTGGATTTGTTGGGGGTAGCAAAGCCAGTGTGACACATGAGGTTGGCAGTTTCTGCCCAGTGTGTGTCAGCTGTGCTGAGAGGGAGACGAAGGAGATTGCCTGCTGCTTAGGAGCAGGTGGCTGTAAGTGGCCAAGGAACCCAAAGAAATGGAGAGTGGGGCAGGGCAAATGGAGAATGGGAAAGGCTCTTACTCCTACAGTGTATTCTTTTTTTTTAAGTTTTAGTTGTTTATTTGAAAGTCAGAGTTATATATATATATATATATATATATATATATATATATATAGAGAGAGAGAGAGAGAGAGAGAGAGAGAGAGAGAGAGGTCTTCCATCTGCTGGT